ATCATCAGTATAGCTCCAAGCCGTCCATGAACTGTAGTCTGTACTAACTCGCCGAAAGAACAGAAATAGAATTAATATATATAATTGTATTTACACTTTATTATTTGTGTTTACACTTTACAGCAACTTGTGAAGGAACGTTAGACTTAGACTGAGAATTATTTACTGTGGAGCAGTTTCCTGTTTTGTTATGTTTCATTTTTTTGCTACCTCAAGGTCAGTTCAATATGTGTTTTGTGAATTCTAAACACTAAAACGAATCTGTAGTAGTTGTACAGCAATACTAATGTAATGGGACTACTGCAGACCCTCTACCGGCCAAACCTTGTTAACAAAGCCGCAGTCAAGGTTCGGTGAACGGTAGTTAAAAGCGCTTAAGGGACATAACTACATAAGTCAAAGTGGTAGAGCAACATCATGTAGTGTTTTGGAAAACGAAATTAGATATATTATACATTATAGTATTACAGGTTATATATTATGAACATCATCATTTCCAAAATAAAAACCAGTCCGTGGGACTGAAAAAATTAGTTGACTTTCGATTCGAAAGAGTTAAATTATAAATCATCCATATGTTAGATAATTCGCCGGTTTTATTTGAGGTATTTCTAGATCCTCTAATGCACAATAAAATTAATTTCCTAATCAAAAATGATAATTTACACCGATAATAATTTATGATATCGTTGTATTTCTGTTTTTTTTTATAAGCAAGTTTGTTGCATAGCAGTTTCTCGGCTTGAGGTCCCATACCACCTGTCACTGAGTAAACTAATGGGGCGAATGATCCATGCTCTACATTAAGAATTCTCTCGTTGTAGCATCGTGATTTCTGTCTCTCGGCATTCTCCATGGTCTTCTTTGTCGAATGTTGAAGGTAGGAATTAGAATCAGGATTAATTACCTTAACATCGAAAAAGCCACTTGGCCCGGCCTATAGAAACCACGAGCTCTAAAATCCGGTCTTGCCGACTTGCCTGGTAAGTGTGGTCAGTGTGGTCACCCGTAATTAGTGTTGAGGACCTCGTGAACTGCTCTCCTTCTAGTTCTTGAAGCTGGGGTTCAACTTCCACGTCCGAGCAAATAGCCTTCAGCAAGCCAGCTAAAAAATCCCTAATTTCGTTGTGTCTGATAGTGATAATGATGTAGCCACCAAGGTGGCAATTTAGAGAATGGTTCACATCAAACGTTTCCGCATAATATTGCTTACATTCAATTTTACGTAAAGGTGTCACGGTCGTGTTTGTTATAGTTTTGTTTGAGTTACACAAACTAATCACTGTTAAATTAACTGTACCAACTAAAATGTATAGGTACAGATTTTAGTACAAAACAATAATGACAATAAATATAATTAAGACGCCGATTTCTAAGTATTGTTAGGTTATGTTATTATTATATAATATAGTGTTACGTCATTATATAATATATATGTATTAGTTTATGATGTTAGTCAGTCTGAGTCTGAAACAAATGTCTCGTATCTAAGTTTTATATCTAAGTGTTATATCCAAGTGTTATATTCAAGTGTTATATCCAAATGTTATATCCAAGTGTTATGTCCAAGTGTTATATCCAAGTGTTTATAGTTCCACTATATATGGGGTTTCCATTGTTTTCAGCTTGACTTCAAGTCAAGATGAGAAAAACCACACGAACGTATTAAGTTACTGAATTTCTCATTGACCATAGTCTTCATAGGTGGAAGATCACGTGACCAGCAGTCACGTGTCCTCTCTAGCTTATGATAAATTACGCCTTAGAGGAGTTTTGTAGATTTAGCAACTATACTAGAATTTATCACCTCTACTATAACAGTATAACGCACTATATATGGGGTTTCATGCTTTGAAAATATCACTTATTCCTTTTATCATTTTTGAAGATCCTAAACACAAACCTTACTCTTTTACAAAACTACAAAGTATTTCAGCGGAAATAAAAGTATGCAACAAAGTATTGGATGTAACAGCTGGTGATGAAGAAACATCATACGAAGTTTAGAGAAAGAATAGCAAGGGAGTAAGTATACTGTGGGTCTGCTCTGGTAACTAGATATTTGAAGATGCAGACACTGTCACTCCTATAAAGTAACCAGAAATTTCATCGTTGTCCTTTGAGAATATTTCCCTGTTTATCGGTAGGAAATTTTCATTAATTTCCTTTCTTTAAAGGTTTCTCCGGATATTCAGCTTCCAGTTATACCTCGATGGTGACTTGTGTCAGTCACACTGACCTCACTGATTGGTAGCTAGTCAAAATTCAATCAAAAATGTGAAATTTCGTTCAAGCAACCGACAAGAAAGCTTTTACTAAAAAATATTCAAAATTTCACTTTCAATTTATTCTGATGATTTTTCCATTTATCATAAAGGTATAAAAGCTCGGAAATTTACTAGCTTCCAGTACCTCAATTTTGAACCAAACACGACTCAGGAGTTTTTCTCATATTTGAAATAACTTCTTGCAGCTCCGAAAATGATTTGCTTAATTCCATTTTTCATGGAATTAAGCAAGAAATTCTTTCAATAAAAAACTTATAATAAAGTTTTTTGTTTGTACAATACAGCGATTGTGTGACTTGCATTTATTTATTAGAAGTAGTTTCTGAATGTAAATTGTGCTTCGGAGACTCACGCAGGTTTAATTTGTGTTTTCCTTGAGATATAAGCTAAACTTAAACTTAAAGATTGCTATATAGGGAAAATTATTCATAATTGTTTTATTTGGACACGAAGTGACGAAGGGAAACACACCATAAGCGGCTTTAAATCTTCACAAAAAAGACTTTATCATGAGAACCTGCATTTGAGATGCAAAATTCGTATAACATAAATTTATAAATGATTTATATGAGTGCAACATAAATAATAACTTTCTTACCAAGAACAATATTGAAAGTATATTTTCTAATCTTTATATCAACCAGCCAACAGCTGAAGCGCCAAAAATTCGATCGTTGTAAAAAATTTCTTGTTTGTATTTGTCCATCTTTCCTCCGTCGCCCCTCCTTTCTTGGTCAACTGCAATTTCAATACTTTTTACTGGGCCGCGCTCAGCCTGTCATTCCGCCGAATCTCTATGTTTATGAACATGATAGCCTGAGGTCCCCAGGTAAAGTTTTTTTTGCTACCATTTCCAAGTCCGGAGATTCCGCAATGGACTTTTTATTGCGTTTGTAGATCACGAGCACGGCAAGGATATACAGCACGTTTGAACCAACCAGCATAATGATCAGTGCGATGACTTCTGAGGAGAGACTTTGGGCTTCTCTATCATCTACATCTTTCAATACTCTTTTTGTTTTCGGTACTTTGGCGATTCTCGAGCAGGGGTATGGTTTTACATTTTCAGAGCAGACAATTTTTTGGAGGGATGTGTAGTTCCGGGCTTTGACACCAAATCCTTCTCTGCACACAACAATTACTGTAGATCCTGGCAGAAACCACGGTAGATTCGCATCATTTATTACTTCTCCATGTGGAATTTTGAGCCGAGAAATAGAACAGAAATGTGATTTGGTATAATTATCAGGATCCTGAAAAAGAATTTGTTCTAGGTACTGTTGTTGTTTGCCAGTGCTAAGCATGCTATTCCCATGCTTCCGAATTAGTCCATAAGAATGGATAGAAAAGCAATCTGTCAAAGTGTTGTCAATAATATACTTTTTCACAAACATCATCTGCATTTTGTTGTTATCTAATTCTATGATGCTGCTATTAGTTTCACAATCATTCAGCACGGCCACGGGTATTTGGTGTCGTAACTCCACATCCAAGCAATGTGTTGGATACTTGGCTGGGGAGAACTTGTAAAATTGTCCTTTCAACTTTTGTATCATCCATCTCTTTGCGCCATAGCAGTTACCCCAAGATAAACCAAACGAATTTTTGTTGTTATTATCTACGTTTTCTGTGGGCACTAAGCATTTGTTCTGTCGTTTTATCCCCTGCATCATAAGGACACCTCCTTTTTCAAGACTCATGTTTAACGCCATTTCCATGTCCATTCCAGTTCTTGTCATTGTACACAGTTTCTCGAGTGATAGACTTTTTCTACCATTGTATTCGTCATAATATTCGTCATAAACTATGTCGTAGAATCCGGTAAACAAACTGCATGTAGAGTTCATGATGCAGAAGGAAACTGCTTTACAACTATCAGAAGTCTTGCAGTACCGCCAGCAGTCATGGCTTCCAGCCGTCTGGAAACTTGTCACAGTGCCACCTGTTGAAATGTTTTAATACTTTTAACACTACTATATAATATAACAAATAATTTGAGAATTTGAGTATGATGTAGAAATGTCGATACGTTATTCAGCTATTCATTTCCATCAGAATCTGTCTTCACTGAGTACTTTCAGATACAAACAGAAATTTGAATAAAAGAAATATCAAATCATGAGACTTAATAATAATACTCGACTCAATAATCACACCACCTGTTGAAGACTCAGGAACGAGGAAAGCTGTTTTGAAGCAGGCCACTTCTTGATCACTTAAAGGTGTGATATTGCTGGGTTGTGTATTTTGCAGTTTGGACTCGTCTGCTTGCACGTAACACAAGCACACAAAGATAGTTATAACAAGCTGCTTATTGTCTGAGATCATAGCAAACATCAGGAATATAGGAGCCGAGTCTGTATTAAATACCGAGGAACATAAATAAACAGCTTTAAATTGTCTGCGATCTTGCTCGAAATGTAGCACTTATAAAGATTTTATTCTTATGCTGATGTTCGCTTGCAGTACACTCATACAATAGTACAATAACGAACCGTGAGCCAATGAAAATACCAGCTTAAAGGTGCGGTTTGTAGTCGAAATTTTGAAATACAAAGCATTGGTGTTACAAAAAGCCCCGGGGGAGGGGGGAGGGGGGGAGGTTTGGGTCAAATTATACCATATATGATATATGTTAAATCCAGATTGAAGTATTATTTATGAGTCGCATTGTTGTAATGTTTCAATACTTGCAAATAATTTGAGATATAACAAATAATTTGAGATCATGAATACGATGTAGTTACATTGAAACGTCGAGTAAACTCCTTTCCCTAATAGGAGCATTTTCACTTGTCGCAACAACCGGGATAAAGATAATTTTACACAGAATACATATATGATATTTATATCATATATGTCTACACCATACTGATTACCATTTATAAATGGTAATCAGTATGGTGTAGACCAATCTAAATCAATAATTTATTTGCATTGTTTGTTCAGAACTTTATTTTTTGTATATTATTTTGAATGACCGTCCGCAAATGCAAAATGATACCGAGAATGAAATCGGTCGCTCGCTTTTCCCATTCATTTACAATTGTAATAGATTAAGAAGAACTACCCAAAGGCAGCTGTACTCGGCAATACCGATTCAATAAACATCAGCTAATTGGAGTTGGACACTGACTACCGCCCTTATCCCGAAATGTACTAGGTGTCGACCTGAAAGCAACCCAAAGAGGTCCACTCTACCCAATTATGGGTTTTGGTAAAATAATCATATCATTTATTATTCTAAATAGCTGTATGATATAACATTCTGAGATTTTCAATTGAAAAAAGACGCAAAACAATTTGGACACGTGATAGTATAAATCATACGCAAAAATTATTTACAAAACATGAAATGATATCAAAGTATAACATTGTATTCCAAATCAAAAATCATCGACCTATAATACTAATAGTGTCTTAGCGAGCCTTTCCCTCAATTCAGAGTCTGACGCACTTGATCAATCATTGCAGAGCAGGTCTATATCTCAGACTTCGCTTGATAAGGATTTTCTGTTTATCTAGAAGCATTTTCTGTGGACGATAGATGGACCGGACTCATCGTACTCTTGTTTTGTTATCCACATCTGAAATTGTTATTGGTCAGGGTTCAATTATATTATATTATTATATTATATTATATATCATAGCTCATTATTTGGGTGTGGTCACAGTTGTTAGCTCAAGTAGTCGCGCTCTGCTAATCTAAACCTAGTTGCCTATTTGGACAGGATTTTTTAATTCATTGTACCCTATAAGCATTAAGCATGATATATAAGTATTCGACAGGGATATAGTGAATCCGGCTTTCCTGGTATTAACAATCGGTATATTGAATGCTACCATTGATTTGATACGGAATAATTGAGCTGCAAAGGCAAGGTGTACCTGTTGGAAGGTAGACAGAGAAGCCAAGATAGATCCTCCAATCCATACGGAGTATTTCCTCTCTGGAGGAGCAATGATCTTGATCTTCATGGTGGGTGGAGCCAAGGAGGTGATCTCTTTCTGCATCCTGTCAGCGATACCGGGGTACATGGTGGTTCCTCCGGAGAGCACGGTGTTGGCGTACAGGTCCTTCCTGATGTCAACATCGCACTTCATGATTGAGTTGTAAGTTGTTTCGTGGATTCCAGCGGACTCCATACCTGAGAAAAATAATTATCAAATTCTTTTTCTTCATTTCGAAATTTGTAAATGGCAGCGATTAAAGAAAGAACACAGAAATTTGTTTCGTTATGAAAGAGAGCAACAAATAATCATTATTTAAATAATAATTGTTTAAAAAATAATTGTTTAAATAATAATTATGTAAATAATCATCATTTACATAATCATTATCTAACAATGCGTCTCTTACCAAGAATGCGGGTTGGAAGAGAGCTTCTGGGCACCTGAATCTCTCGTTACCCACAGTGATGACCTGTCCATCAGGAAGCTCGTAGGATTTCTCGAGGGAGCTGGAACTGGCAGCGGTTGCCATTTCTTGTTCGAAGTCCAGGGCAACGTAGCAGAGTTTCTCCTTGATGTCCCTGACGATTTCCCTTTCAGCGGTGGTGGTGAAAGAGTATCCTCTCTCGGTCAGGATCTTCATAAGGTAGTCAGTCAGATCACGTCCAGCAAGGTCGAGACGGATTATGGCGTGGGGGAGGGCATAACCTGAAAGAAAATAAAAACTTTAGCAATTTGATTCCACTGAACAGCAATCTGAATAGAAGTTGAGAAGTTACTTTGATATTGAACTTGGGTAATTTGTCTTAGTCACGAGTATTTGAGACAACATTGAAGAAGTCTCAGGTCTCATAAAAAATTCGCACGAAATGTGAAAATAACATAAAGTTTTGATCTAAATCTAACCTTCATAGATGGGCACAGTGTGAGAAACACCATCTCCAGAATCCAGGACGATACCAGTGGTTCGGCCGGAAGCGTACAGGGACAGGACAGCCTGGATAGCGACGTACATAGCAGGGCAGTTGAAGGTCTCGAACATGATTTGGGTCATCTTCTCTCTGTTGGCCTTGGGGTTGAGGGGAGCCTCAGTCAAAAGGACGGGGTGTTCCTCGGGGGCAACTCTCAGCTCGTTGTAGAAGGTGTGATGCCAGATCTTCTCCATATCATCCCAGTTGGTAACGATACCGTGCTCGATGGGGTACTTCAGGGTGAGGATACCTCTTTTGCTCTGAGCCTCATCTCCGACGTAGGAGTCCTTCTGTCCCATACCGACCATGACACCTTGATGCCTGGGTCGTCCTACGATCGAGGGGAAGACAGCTCGAGGAGCATCATCACCAGCGAATCTGAAAGAAGAGGGTAAGTAAACAGACAAGCTCCTTCAAGATGTTGCACCTATAAAGAATTTAAATGAGGGAACTCATTTATGAAAGGATGATTTTACAAATAATCAGCTACTTTACGAAGGATGATTTTGTACTTACCCAGCTTTGCACATTCCTGATCCATTGTCTACAACAATAGCGGGGGTATCTTCTTCGTCCATGGCAGAAAATAGTTGATAAAACTGGGACTAACTTTAAAATATAACTACTGGTAAAATGCTTGGTCTGCTCTGGTTTTAAGAGGCGGCGAGGTTTAATATAGCTTCCTGAAAACGGAAACAGCTAGCCAGCAGAAATTTTACCACCAATTGGTTCCCGTGGACCACGTGATACAAATTCTCGGGATTTGAAGAAAACTTTCCTTTTATGGGCATTAGAAGCAAAATTAATTGAAGAAATAAATATAATTAATTAAAGATTAATTAATTTTCTCAGTTCGGCCGGATACGCACCGTGTTTTGCAGGCTTCCTGGCTCACTGGTCGAAGCGCTATTGTCATAATATTACCTAGAACATACCCTCTCAAAACTTGAAAATTATAAATACGATACTTATCGTATCGGGTTTATGAAAGGAATAAGGTCTTTAGCTGAATCTACTCAATCAAAAAGTAGTATGTCATGATTATTAGTTCCTTATACCTGCAGCTGAAGAATTTGGCTACGTAAGATAATTTGTAGGCTTCCTGACCCAGCGCACTACTGCTATCATTCCAGGAACTTGGTTAACTTGGAAAATTATCAAAAACATGCTTTGCTAATTATTAACTGATTTGTGTTAATACTGGAGAACAACAACGTGAAGAATTTTTACAAACTTACAGAATACCAATAAGCCTGGATTTTGATAAAATGTATGTTAAAGGTTATGAGAGTACGGAACAGTATTCGTATAGTGATGATTATGAAAGGAACTGAAAGCTGGACCAGATTCCATCTATGATTGAATTGTAACTTATCATTTTAAATTCCAGGACAGTTTGAAGGTCAAGAATAATTCAGATTAACGTTCAGTGTTGACTGATTATAGTACTATTAAAGTTTAATTATAGATCTCGTGAGGTAGAGCGTGAGTTTTGAACAATGAGTAGAAAGCATTACGGATTTAGCAAAAGGACAATCAGCATGAGGAGACGTTGATTGCTTTCATTTCACCAGTTATTTTGTCTGATTTACTGTCAGAAAAAAGCCGTGATGCTTCTTAGTAAACACTACAAGAGGGTAAACATTATTTAGAAGCACATTATAAAGGAGCAGTTAATAAATTTAGTCATACATAAATGATGATGGCTTGATCCCTTCAAACAATTCTGCAGAAAACAGCCTCAAATTCCATGGCAAAAGAATAACCTGTTCCCATGAATAAATTATAAAATGAATACAAATAAATTATAAATTTAAATTTAAATATATTAAAAATCAAAAAACTGACAGATCATAAAAACCCCTCTGTAGTTCAAATTTTCCCGTCAAATAATTGATAGTCAAACGTTTGAAAGAATGCACTGCAGGCATTTTCGATGATACGAATTTTTTCAACATCCATATCTCGCCATTTCTCTGATACGGCTACTGAATCTTTGATTACCTAAAAGTGGAAAAAAAGATTGTTATAGGTGATTGGCAATTATTAAATGATAATAGTTAGTTTCTATAAGGTTTTCTCGGACATAACTAAAACCACAATGTTATACAATCGAATATTCGGTGGAGGGAGGAACCACGCAATAATGACAACTAACTAAATCATGAAAATTAGAATAGAATCGACTTTGAGTTCTGTGAAGAAAAAAAAAAACTCACGTCGAAATCGGAAGAAGTTTTTTTGCCGTTCATCGAAGTTGCTACAAACTTAATAACTTTTTCTGTCACTGGCTTGTTCACAAATTTATACAACTCTTCTAGCTTTTCGTAGGGTTTATCGACTATCTGTAAGATATCGTGAAGGAGCCAAACTAAACGTAGAATGAATAATCGACTTCTTAGAATTGGAATTTGAACCACAAACATTAAACCTTAAATAGTTAAATTCAATTCTAGTCTGAAACTTTCATTTTTGTTGTTGCTTACTTACATCTTGGTAGTGTACTGCCATGTATCTGTCTTTTAGCCAAGGTTCCTTGGCTATAGCCCTATAACTTACAATATTTGAGCACAACTCAGCTGCTGCTTTGTAGATCTCATCGTCACTAAACTCCTGAATTTAAAATTATTGTTAGCACTGTCACAAGCTTGCTAGGATAGCAAACAACAATGCAGTGATCATTGAAAATAGTTCAATGCTTCAACAATTGATTGAATTTACTCTTATATCAATCCTTTTTAATCTTGTATAATCGTGTTTAATCGTGTTTAATACTGTTCAATCCTGTGTAATCCTATTAACTACCTCAAAAATGAAAGAAAATAATCTAGATAGAAGCTTCACAGGGTTCCAAGGGAATCTGTTCTGCGGAGAGAAGATTACAAATTAATTAATAACTTTAAATTATGTAAATTAATCAATTAACTTTCATTAGTTGTGATGTAATTTAAAGTTACTATCTGATTACTTACTAGGCTATTCATTTAAAGTCACATTCATTACATAACAGTGGCGTAACGTTGCCTGTTGCCCCCCCCCCCCCCCCGCACAGCGGGGTTGGCGGGGCCCTTCGTTAGCCACTGTTACATAAATTCTAGTAATTAATTAATGGCATGACCTGAAAAGGATAAATCTAGTATCCATCCTTGATCTAATAACAGCTCTCGGATCCCGTATCAACTGAACAACCTGAAAAACTGAAATCAATATCTTATTATTGTAGTGCTACTGTTGTGCTATGCTCCATATCACATACAAAAGTGGGCTCCGGGATGGAATACTACTGCACCATCAAACACCAGTAGAATACACAGTACGAATTCAAATTTTTCCGCTTAGTAAGATCACTGAATGAGTAGTTCACCACAGTAGGTTCTCGAGTAAGTGTTCAGTACCGTTAACAGTTAAGTTATTGGACTACATTAAAAAAATTTTGAAATAACATTATATTTACGCAATTGTGACCTTGAATTTGGTACAGCCCAGCTCAGGGAGTCGTTTGAGGATTGATATGTCCGGTAACCTTATACATTTCGGCATCACCACAGAAAACTGGGAACAAAACGCCTCCATCTGATCCTGGCCCTCTGCGAATGTTACATGAGTTTAATATTTTATTTATATTGAGTCATCAAGGTGCAAAAAGAAGAAGAGAAAAGAAAATAAAATAAGTACGGACATATTATTGTTGCAGTCGGAGTGTTTCACACATGTTGTAAACACGGACCGCGTATACAGGATGTTTCTTACTGGGCGGCGCTCAGCCTGTCATTCCGCCGAATCTCTATTAGTATTATGTTTATAAACATAATAGCCTAGGGTCCCCAGGTAAGGTGTTTCAAGACTCGTGTCCAAATTTTGAATGGCCCTTAAATCTAGCAAATAGGTCAAACAGTTTTTTATATTTTTTTATTATAAATATATTATTATTGAGTACGTGAACTAATGTAATATATGATTACAATTTACATGCGCAAAGTATGCTTATGATACGGTAAAATAAAATGAAGATGTCAACAAATATTAAAGCTATTGTAGCTTAGCACGGTCGGTAGTCCCAGTTATCTTACTCTGGGCAGGCGGGCTTAAAACATTTTCAATATTGTTTGATTTTTCTTTAATCTAATTAAAATTATAAATTAACAAATAACTTAAATTAAATTTCCCTAATAAACTTACTCTTAACTTCTTCATGTAGATTGTAAAGAGTGTGACTTGACGTTATTCTCGTTGCCACTGCCTTTCCGAAGGCTTGTATCGTCTGAAACTGGCACGTGCACAAACTTAACAGTACTTTCAACTTTGATTCTTCTGACAGCTGTCTTTTGTCGTGAGGATCTAGTTCCGTCTGAAATATTAAGTTATAAGTCAACCTAAGGTGTCAACATATAAATATAATCTGTGATTTCAACATTAATTCACACGCCCCTAATAATTATTGCGTTATAACATTTATTATAATATAAGATGCGTGGCATTATATTTATAAGTACGTACTTTAACTTTAAGTCTATTTCAAAAGTACGCATATTTCGTAATTCTTAACTTCGGTACATATGTTATTTTCGAAATAATAAACCAATCATAAGAAAATTCGCTGGATGAATTCATAATTTCATAATCATAAGTTTATTTCAACAATATATTTAATTTAATTAACAATTTTCCTTTTTAATCCGTTATACATGCTGACAATACTAAAATAAATAATGACCAGGAGGATGAACAAGGTAGGTAAGGACTAACCCGAGGGTAACCCTAGTGTGGTTGGTTTTATCCGATTTTTTTAGATTTTTATGGAGGTTGTACCATTGTAAAACTTACATTGTGACAGTATAGATGGCGAAATATTTTTGAAAATGGTCCTAACACAGCTTTGATCGTAACAATAACATTGGGTGAATAGATTGGGTGAACAAACTATGAAGCAGGCAATTATATGTGCTCATCCATCATTCTGCATATGTAAGCTCAGTAGTTTAATTGCTGATTCATACTCAATGGTGAATCGATAGAATTCATGTGTCGGAGATCTCGTGAGAACACCTTTTAATAATTATAGCCCTCAGGATCGCATTATCCCGATCCGGCCGTAATGTGTATTGAGGTATGCACTAATTGTAGTGGTGAACGGTTGCAGCTCAGGCTATGTTTCAGTATAACTATATATCAGAGATCGCAGTATATTTACATTCTACTCGGATTGCAGATTGAAATATTTTCCTGTTGGAACCATGACACATGCAGGGGAATACCAAAATATTAATTGTAGTTGTACAACTAATATGATCAATAATTAATAACGGCAACGCTAATTTGTCCTTATTGGACTTTATTTTTACGGACATAAGTTAATAGTTGCTGCAAATGCCAAATGCTACAACTACAAGTTAAGCCCTATAAGCGTTCATTTTAATGTCCGTTCATTTTAATTTTAATATCCGTTCGAATATTGGCGGACGTTTTAAATTGTAATTAAATAGACCATTGAGCGGTCGCGTTTATTTTAATGTCCGCTCAAAATTATTCCCGTTCACATTATTTCCGGTTGCAGTACGGGTAAAATAACGTCCGAATAAAGCTATCCGATAAGCTCAGGCAGAGCTTTCGGACTGCGTAAAACTAAACAACTTAAAACGTTGAAGAACGCCGTTAAGACATCTGTTGTTAACTCACCTAAAACACAAACATACGTCATACAGTCCAATGGCGAAGAATTCACAGCCAACTGAGCAAGTCATAAGCTCGGAAACGCTCAAAAGCGTAGTAAAACGTGTTGTCGAGGAAGAGGACCGCAGTCTAGTCGCAACGTCATTGTATTTGGTCTGTTACAAGGGAGCGAGATATATAGAGAACTTATTGACACAGTTAGCGTGATTTTCCAAAACATTGGACAGAAACCGAAGATTGTTGAAGCGTGCAAAATTGCCAGAAAATCTAAGGACAATTTAGTTACAGCATCATTAATAAATGAGCAATTACGTTATTCGTTTAAGTTATTGCAAAATATTTGATTCCAATAAATAAAATCCGCCTTGTGCCGCGTGCGCTAATTTACTAATTCTGTACTCGCCTGCGTACACTGTACTGTACAGTGTACAGCAGGAGCAGGCCTGCAGGCATCATGCTACATGCGATTTTACAAATAATGTTCGACTTCAATTTAGACTTTCAGTTGTTGTAGTTGTACTGTATACTTAGGGCCGTATTTACCAAATTTGCTTAAAGTACGACCTTAAAGGAAGAATTTTAAGTATCACGTTAAAGTGACACTTAAAAAGTTGGACCTTAATCGAAATTCGTATTTACCAACTGGAAATAGCTCGTACTTTAATTTATAGGTTGACCTCCCACTTATGCTCTAAGTGGGAGGTCAACCTTTAACTAAAATTGTTATTCACCAAAATTTTATCACTGAACTGACACTTTAAGTGCAGAATTAGATGTATTGTAATGTATTGTATAAGAAGATGATGAGTATCAGGAGGTAATTAGGGGAAAATAGACTGCTGAGAGATTAAATAGAGAGCAAGATTAACAAATTTTACTAATTATCAGGAGAGCTGTTAGCACAAAGCTATCAGGAGGTAAACCAATGTTTGCGAGTTGCTGTAATATGTTTCTGATCGAAATCCGTTTGTCTGATTTGTTTACTCCTGATTAAACTTTAGTAAATTTGAATAATTAATGAGTATTGAGTACGACGACTTGTTAAACCTACAACGGCAGCGGGTAGAATCTAGAGTTATTCAGCGCAGGCCTGTCTCACTAAGAGACCGATTTAACCTACTGGAGGCATACGATGACGTAGATTTTTACTACCGATTTCGAGTCAAGATAGAAGGTTTCCTTCTCATCCTCCAAGCCGTAGAGCCCCTACTTTCTCAGTACAGGAAACAAACCAATTCCTCATTGAGCCCGGTACAGCAGCTCTCTGTGGCGCAACGGCTTTGCAGATCTCTTGTGGCGACATTCAGCAAGCTCAAAGAAAAAACCCTCGTTGGGAGTGAAGAACGAGGTAAAGAATTTTCCTGCCTCGTCATCTCACCTTAAGTTTAACTGTAAGAGGACAACAACAGAAGAGACGTACCAGGAGCGGGCAGAAGAGATACATCAAGCGAGAATGGGGATGCTGACCACGCAGCAAATACAGATGTCAGAAAGGCATGAACTGTGGATGGAGATTTTGAAGGGCCTTACAGTCAATTTGGTGCCAACCTCATCCCGATTACCATTTTCAGGTGGCCTTCCCGCCGAGCTTGAGGGTGAAAACATAGCTGATTTTTCATTTTATTATGAATATTTTACTTTCACTTCAATATTTACTCTATTTTTACTCTTGAAACGCTAGTGTTTTTATTGTTTTTCACACGGTGCAAGTACATAATTAACCGTTAAATGAGTAGAGATCTTAATTGTAAATGAGTCAAAATCAATACGTTTAGCTGTAATATGACAGCTATAATATAACCGCTAATCATAACCAACTATAATATATTTTAGAATATAACTGTTACATATGTAACAGATTTTAAACTTTAAGTATGAGGTCTGTAGATTAAGGGTGACATAGGTGTACCTTAAAAATAGTCGTTTTAAGTGTGAGTTTAAGTACGAACTTGAGTATGACTCGATTTGGTAAATACCAATTTTGAGGGATTTTAAGTGTGACACTTAAAAATTAAGGGTGACACTTAAAAGAGAATTTCGTGAATACCATTTGTAGAGTTGCCACTTAAACTCCTTTTTAAGTGCGACCTCATCCTTAAACTGCTGTTTAAGTATGACCTAAATGTTGGTAAATACGGCCCTAATTGTGTCGGTTTATATATTTACCAGGCGGCGCTCAAATTGCATGATCAATAACGCTAATTTGTCCTTATTGGACTTTATTTTTACGGACATAAGTTAATAGTTGCAAATGCCAGATGCTACAAGTTAAGCACTAGCGTTCATTTTAATGTCCGTTTATTTTAATATCCGTTCGAATTTTGGCGGACGTTTTAAATTGTTAGTAAATAGAGCATTGAGCGGTCACGTTTATTTTAATGTCCTCTCAAAATTATGGCTACGCCCGTTCACATTATTTCCGGTTGCGGTACGGGTAAAATAACGTCCGAATAAAGCTATCCGATAAACTCAGGCAGAGCTTTCGGACTGTAAAACTGGACAACTTGAAATGTTGAAGAACGCCGTTAAGACATCTGTTGTTGACTCACCTAAAACACAAACATACAGTTCAATGGCGAAGAATTCACAGCCAAAGCTGAGCAAGTCATAAGCTTGGAAACGCTCAAAAGCGTAGTAAAACGTGTTGTTGAGGAAGAGGACCGCAGTCGCAACGTCATTGTATTTGGTACGTCACAAGGGAGCGAGATATATAGAGAACTTATTGACACAGTTAGCGAGATTTTTCAAAACATTGGACAGAAACCATAGATTGTTGAAGCGTGCAGAATTGCCACGAAATCTAAGGACAATTCAGTTACAGCATCATTAATAAGTGAGCTTACGTTATTCGTTTAAGTCTGTCTGTCTGTCTGTCTGTCTATCTGTCTGTCTGTCTGTCTGTCTGTCTGTCTGTCTGTCTGTCTGTCTGTCTGTCTGTCTGTCTGTCTGTCTGTCTGTCTGTCTGTCTGTCTGTCTGTCTGTCTGTCTGTCTGTCTGTCTGTCTGTCTGTCTGTCTGTCTGTCTGTCTGTCTGTCTGTCTGTCTGTCTGTCTGTCTGTCTGTCTGTCTGTCTGTCTGTCTGTCTGTCTGTCTGTCTGTCTGTCTGTCTGTCTGTCTGTCTGTCTGTCTGTCTGTCTGTCTGTCTGTCTGTCTGTCTGTCTGTCTGTCTGTCTGTCTGTCTGTCTGTCTGTCTGTCTGTCTGTCTGTCTGTCTGTCTGTCTGTCTGTCTGTCTGTCTGTCTGTCTGTCTGTCTGTCTGTCTGTCTATCTGTCTGTCTGTCTGTCTGTAATTTCCGAGCGGCTTAATTAAGAAAACGGTAAGAGTTACGGCAGTCTCTATATTTACTAGGCGTTTTTAATGCTAAATGTGTTTCACTTTCAGTGTTTCATAGGTAATGAAACATATTAACATAATATTAATATTATGAATTGGGTCATGCCATGTGAATTTTATATGCTAATCTGCATTCATCACGCTTTTTATACTAATAAATTATTCTTATGTAATGAGTAAGCACGAGAATTTACCTATGATACTAATACTAATAATAATAATTAGAACCCATAGATTTATTTTTTCTGGCATTACCATTTAGTGACAAAATTCGTGCTACCCAGGGTCTGCAGGCCACCTGGCCACCCATGATGGGGTGTCATAATCATGTATTTGTAACTTGCGG